TGAATAAATAAAGTCAAGATCATTATCTTATTTCTAGATCTTCACAAAGAAGATGAACAATTATCTAAAATATTTAAATTACACGTATTATACGTAGAAAGAGGAACTGTGTGAACCAACTTTGCAAGATATCGAAAGCCAAACTTACATAGATCCGCGGACCTGTTTGGCGGCGAAAGTGCCATCATCGTTACATTTTGGTGCTTCCAGTCCCAGTGGTCTGTTGACCATGTTCTGGACCTTAAGAAGCTCATCCGAACATTGCTTTTGGCACAGCTCTGAAAAACAGAAAAGAATGCAAATGCTTAAGTGGTCACGTTGTGAAGAGCAGAACAATATGCGGAATTAGGAACATGATAATTGCTAACAAAATGGCTAGATTGCCATTTAGAAATCTCATAATTAAGTCGATTCTTTTTCAGGTCGCCAAATCTGTGAGGCATTGTTGAAATTAGATGTGCGAAAACGTCATTCTGAAGTAATAAAAAGACATTGCCGTACCTTGTTCCTAAACACATTATTCTATTTGTTTAAAGTTACGAATCCAAGGAAAAATGTCCTCATCAAAACAAAAGTATTCATTTTACAAACATCTTTTTATCAAGATGCCACAATACTTACTGACAGCGCTGGCAGCAACCAGAACGCAGGCAAGAACAACCAGAACCTTCATCTTTCAAGTGCTGTCCCTCGTCAATACAAAACTGTATGTGAGCACCTACACCTGCCTTGACCTTATATATACGTCTTATCTGGCAAATCTGGCTATATTTAACTCTGCCAAGCCCATATCATGTCCACGGAGGTTTAGGTCTTATGGGCATCGGAAACACATGTACTATATCGCGAAATGTGCTTATCTAGTTTTGTCATATCTGCAAAGCGCAGCGTGTATGTTTGTCCAAAAAATCTGAATGCTCCTATCAGTGTGGGAAAGGCCACACATATAAACAATTGGAAATGAAAGGGAGCTGAAGTACCGATTGAATCATGTTTCTATTTTTGTGAATCGTTTGAACCCTCTACCTCCTCCCCTCCCCCCCTTCCCCCCATTCGAATCCAAATTTTTAACTTTTGGATATGCAGATCCGGGTCTGAGAATGTTTTCAGTCTACAAATGCTTCAGATTCATTCTTTGAAGCTGCAAGTATATCAGTGCATATCTGACCATACCGAGGTATTAGGTTTTTGCGAAACATCAACGATTTTCTACTTATTTACTATTATTATTTTCCAAATCTCTTCTACAAAACACTTACTTTACTTTCGGATATGAACATCATGTACCGGAACATGCACGCTCACCATCCCATAACATAGCGCTACTTGTTTGGGTGCTGTGTACTTTTGGAGTGCATGTACTATTAGAAAGATTATTCTGTGTGTCTGTTTGTGTGTGTGGATTTGCGTATTTCCTCAAGACATGTATGTTAATATTAGAATCCAATACTGATATCTAATATGCGATTTGAACATGTTTTAATAGAACTTTATAGCTTATTTATCTATTTATTATTATTATTATTGAAGTACAGAATATAGAAATAGCACAGTCTGTTTGAGAATTTGCTTTAATGAAATTGTGCTCATTGTAACGTCGGAATTTAAGGCTTGATTTCTCAACTTGGAGTTCCTAGTTGGGTTTGCGATAATTGCCTGAAAAGAAGTCATGTATTATACATTTCCGGCGATGGAAGGTTGCCTGTCAAAAACAAAGTGCATCGTGTACTACAAACGTTTCTTTTTAAAGTGAAATCCATGATCACACAGACACCATCATTTATATCCATGCCAGACTTATTGCTCAAATAAATATTGTTATTGCAGATATCTCAGTGACTCACACGCAAACATTTACTAAACCTGGTATATTATCTGTCCTGTAATCTTAAAAAGTGCCATAATGCATTTCGTTCTTGATAATAATCATAATACCAAATTTATTCGAGGTTGGCAATTTTCAAATATTTTAGCCAACTGGTATTATTTTGCACGAAATTGTATTTTCAGTATTGTATCACTATGTATTCTTACCGTATTTATCACAGAAAAACAGTTTTCCAATGATACCTTTCTCCAGGTAATCAGCAAGGTCACGTGCGCACTCTGATTTAAGGTCAGCCAATAAAAGGAAAGAGTCAGTTTACACTCACAGTATTCTTACATGGCAAGTAAAGTTCAACAAGAAAACGTTTATAAATCAAATAGAAATAGAATTATAATCTAGCATTTGAGGTCTTAGTCATTTGATAAATATGATTTGAACTCACTGCAGTCGTTGCCTTGAGAAATGTGCCCCATCTGGTAGTCAGTCAAAATGTCACCGCATCTGTCCACACAATAGGTCCTGGAAATATTACAGTACCTATGAGGTTGGCGTCAACGTGCAGAGAAACACACTGTGATTCCCACTTCTGATCTATTTATTTCAATTCTGGAGTTATCGATATTATAACTGTTTGAAATTGAAATTTTGCACCAAGTGACGTCAAGCGTTTCACAGAAACCTTAGAAAATTCAAATATCTTTAATACTAAAATTGTGTTCTAGCGCCCATAACTTACGCCGATCCTTGGAACTGCAAGGCTGCGTATGTGCCATCATCCTTACAGGTGGGTTTCCATTGGCCAAGCAGTGTAGGTCCGTTCTGGATCTGAAGCAGCTGAGTTTTGCACTTGTTTTGGCAAAGTACTACAAGGAATAGATACAAGTACGCACTAATCGAGTACAGAACTCGGAAATGGGACCTGCGGTTCTTTTTTTTTCGATTGTTCCGGAAAGAGATCTATTACTTGATCGACCCTTTATAACGGTGTCATACATTGAAAGAATAAAAAATGAAGTTAGCGTTTCTCCGTTTTAACCAAACCAAAAGTGCAATTGCATGCACCAAATAACAGTGCATTTTGTCGTCTTCTGAGACTTATTTTTTGAATACTATACCCAAACCCCGTCCACATACTTTCGGCGCTAGCTGCAACAACAACACAGGCAAAAACGACAAGGAACTTCATCCTGGGCTCAGAACTCTGCGTTTGACGATATGGTGAGTTGTGTTGCCGTGAATTCTCTTATTCTTGGTGAGAGAAGAGCCAGATGTCGTACACTCCTACACTCCTTGGTACGTTAGAAATTCCTGCAAAGGGTCTGCTGCTAAACTACTTAACCAGCGCACACGGTTTCTTGCATTAGCAATGATGCGATGAAATATACGAGGAATGAATAAATGAATCAATAAATGAAAGTTGAAAATAAGTGGCGGTGTACAATAAACTTATGGCATTAAATGTTGCGTTTGGAAAAGTTGTGTAATTCTAAATAACGATGAGTTCAGAAATACCAGGCACGGACAAGGTAAGACTGTTCAAAAAGGGAGAAGATAAGGCACCTGCATGGAAGGGTCCTGAAAAGGGCGAACCAATATTTGTTCAAGTTTTGAAAGTTTGATTTAGACGACAGAGTTGACGATTGATTAGGGAGGTCAACGGGTTTTGTTTTATCAAAATAATCTTTAAAATGTAAAGCGCAAGGACCTGATAAACAATCAACTGCGATGCGCGTCCTACTCATTTGAGTCGCCACATTTTCAGAACTATATCAATTTCTAATATAAAATCTTACGCCTTAAATCTATGTCCTGATAAGTCAAAACTAATACATTTCTGGACTCTCTGCAGTGGTGCTTTATTATTATAATTATTTTAGCAAGAAGCATTCTTTACAAGTTCATTTATTTGTACATGAACACGCAAGTTAAATGCCAATAAAAACCGTCTGTCTTTTAATTATGAATCACAGTCAAAACGAATGTCCAGGTTGTTCCTCACAATTGTCATACATTGACAATCTGCAATCAGTGGCTCGTGGTATTTAACAATTGAGGGTTTTCACGGCGGAGATGGATACGGGAGGAGTGCTCTCCAACTTGGACCCCTTCTCGTCTACGCAGTAACAGACGGATCCGGTACACTGGTATTTCTCGTAGTTTCCTGGAGATAGAAAACACTGCGGCGTCTTGACACATTTCAATCGACTACATAAAAATAAATCACATCTTTTTGGGGAGGATTGACATCACGGGAACATACACATTAAGTTGCCCCAATATCCTTTTCTTAGTAAATAATCTATCGTTTCTCAATAATACGGTAAACCTGGAAGAGTTAAATAAACGCACAGACATGATGGTTCAGTCAGATAAAGTGACTTCTTGAAAGAATATGACGATATTAAAACCAAAGAAAAAAATCATATAAATTAAAACAAATTAAGCAAGCAAAACTTTTAAAATTTTGCCAGTCAGCTTTAAAATTTGCTCGTTGTACTTGTTATTCTTGTATGCGCCGTAAAATGTTGTTTTTAATGTAAACCCAACAATTTATAATTCGTAAATCAAAATACATATGCTTGTATATTTTTGTATAGGTGGTAGACTTACCGTTTTCGTTGCAGATGTACATCTTTCCAATGAGACCTTTCTTTTGGTATTCGTCTTCATCACGTGCACAATCTGATAAATTATTCAACGAAAATACAAATGAATTTAGATTTACAATTATTGTTCAAGGCCTGTAATCTGTTATACATTTAAATCACTGTACATGTACATGCACATGAACAGTGCTTTATCACAACTTGATAAGAAAAGTAAAGATTCTATTCAGTTTGTAACACTTACAGATTGCCTGGTTTGATGATAATATGGGTTTATACAATCAATTTTCAAATCATAAAATAAAGGTAGTGTTGGCATGTTATTAAAGTAGAGAAATACACAAATTGCCTTATGCGTATTCATGGGAACAAATTGCGGTAAGTAAAACGGGATGGGGTAGGGGATTCGCTTAAATCGGACACATTCTGGTACAGAGCACATCTGCACTTAGTCGTTACGTGTTTAATTTCCTGTTTTAAAAATCAAGTTGCATTGAAAACTTACTACACGTCATGTCTTTTGCCTCCCAAAACCTTGCTGAATAGTCCCCAAGACGATCTCCATCCTTGTTTACGCAAAAACAACTGAAACAAGCGAATAAAACATTTACTGGGCCTATCAACAAAAAGGTTTCAGCGACTTTAAAGTTGCTTAAAAGGTGAAACCAACCAGAATAGACTGAGGGTTAGTTTTACAAATATTTCAATTTGGAAAGAAGTTAAACAGGGTTTGACATTTATAAAAAGAATTATTTTTTTAGATTACAATAGACCTATTGTACTGCTAAACAACAAGATTCATCAAATCCAAAATCGCTCCTAAAATTTAATTTAGGGTTCTTACTTAATCATTTTTGAGTCACACTTATAATGAAAATGAAGACTTACATATTTTACTAGGACGACATTATAAAGAATGTCATTTTCTCTAAATGCTTAAGATACTACATGTACACTGTAGTTCATGTTTACCTTGCCGAAATTATGAATTTTAGAAAATCCTTGAAAACTTCAGAAATTGTTTTTTAAAATAGATATTAAAATATCATATGTGCAACTGGCATTGTGTGTCTTGAAATATGAATATTCTTTACCTAGCTTCTATACACTGCTTGGCACTGTAAGTACCGTCGGCGTCACAGGTAGGTGGTGTAGCACCCAGCAGAGGTTGCCCCTGTCGCCTTGACTCTTCAATACGAGCCAAAACCAAAGCGCGAGACATAGCGCACGTCTCTACAAATAAAAAATCTTATTATGCAGAAGTTTTAGCATGTTGTATTTCGATGTCATACGACGGATGTAGAGCGAAGATAAGTGTTAGAATGGGTTGTATTTAAATACATTTTGTCATACGAAGCACTTTAAGCACGTACCAGTGTTCTTTTTCCTGTTTCTAAATTGAATAACAACAAAAATCAATTAATATAAAATTCAAAGACCATTTCTAAGCGTATTTCATAAAATCATTAAACAAATAGATTTTTAAAAACTTTAAAAAATCCTGAAATATTTAACAACCAATAAAAACTCACGTCGACGGCATTTGCTTGTATTGATGTCACAGAACAGTCCCTCGCCACACTCAGAGGAAGGCGGGGAGCCGAGGAGCAGAGTGGCAGAGCAGCTGTCTCCTTCTTCTGTAAGAAATAAATATAAGCATGTTTATTATGATACATCGACATTTTTCTTCATTGGCATTCTTTAGTTTTGACAATGTTGTATTTTGGCTTGTTTTGCTTAATTGTTTTTAAAAAGTTAAAATTTCTTTTGGCTATAGACTTACTAATTAAAATTCTAACATATGGCCAGTTTAAGAAATCTTGCTCACACGACATTATTTCAAAGACTAATAAATGAAAAAAAAAGAAAATTATTAAAAGACATCGGCGTCAGGATGGCCGAGCGGTCCAAGGCGCTGCGTTCAGGTCGCAGTCCACTTCTGTGGGCGTGGGTTCGAATCCCACTCCTGACAAGTTTTACTGTTTTATGGCGGGTTTTATTCACTGCTTCGTGTACAGTCAAACTTTTAAAGATGTCAGCCATCATTTTCACAAGTCCACAAAGCAGGCCCGTAGCCAGCAATTTCAGAGGGGGTGAGGGTGGGGGGTGTTCGTTTTCAGAAAAAGTGGACTTTCCACCATAAAATCCTCAAGTACATAGATCAAATTTTACCCAGAGTGGACCTTTTCCCAGCATAGAGGGTGGTTCTTTCGAACCCCCCGAACCCCCCTGGCTGCGGGCCTGACAAAGAGTTTACTTTTCCAGATCCCCTCCCCTCTTCAGAGAGTAAGTGAAAAGCTACAGATGGAGAGCACACCCCTGAAGTTGAAGATCATAATTTTTCTTAGTTTCCCAAAAGCGTACAGAGAGCATTAACCCTCCCTCCGTGTCTCCTGTTTCTCACTCTCTCTCTCCCTTCCCCCCAGCGTACGGTTTGTAGAAGACTTGTGAAAATGATGATAGAAATGGATGATCATTGACCAGATTAAGTGATTGGGCGAGAAAATTCTGAAAATCGCCTTAGTGTGGTATATGTATGTACAATGTAGATATAATTGCGATCTTGCAGTTTTGGTCCTGTCAAATGAAAAATGCACTTCAAGTAGACGCTTACGTGATTCCCAAGGCATATTGCGTCTTACATGCATATTATACATCTCTGGTCTTAATTCATTATAACAATGACAATCACCTTAAACAATATAGTGGGGCATTTTTGAAATTTGTCGTAAAACGGACGACTTTTTTTACTTTAAAACCTAGGGCGTTCTTTCATTCATTTGTTTTTTTTTCTTCTGGCGGAGGGAAAAGCAGGGTGAAGGATAGGAAAGGAGGAAAAGAATTCTACATTTTACTCCTGATCTGCTGAAGACATGACTAATAGTGTACATTAAGTGTTTCACCTGATTGCTTCATAGCGCCACTTTCCGCGATATCACATTGCGTCACGTATTGGCATAAGATACCAGCAAGGACCAAGGGTATCTTTCCTTAAAGGGGCAAGGTCAAAAGAGATAAACCTGGCGATATAAAGTGTGAGGACTGCGGGCTAATTTGGTAGATTCATCTTGGAGAAATAGAACTTCAGTTTACGGTGGCTTTATAAGATACGAGTGTAGGAACCGATTAACGTCGGGCAAACTGCTCTCGTCTAAAGTGATGACCATGCTCCAAAGTGTAAACTACCGTTCGCATACAGAGATCAGGCCTACCCAACTACCAGACTCGGCACATAAGGATCCTGAATTAACCGGTATATCGGACCACACTACCCGTTTTCAAGGTGTGTGTCAGATCGCATTTCGTATCACACCCCAGAACAAATTTTGTTGGACGACCGCGGGCTCATCCACGCTCGTCTGTCACCTTGATTGGATAGTAAACGATTGTCGTAGAATCGCTATATGATTTTTAACCGGGTGGTGCATAAATTTGAAAACCACCTAGAACAACCTTAGACTGTACTCTTACCTTAGAGTACTCTATTTTATTGTCTCTAGGGGGGTATATGGGGACTTTATGACATTCGGTTTGAATGCTTTAACCACTTTTAATAAGTTTTTTTTGCATTATATTAGATTAATGTGGCAGTCTAAGGTTGTTCTAGGTGGTTTTCAAATTTATGCACCCGGTTTTAAAACCATATAGCGATTTTACGACAATCGTTTACTATCCAATCAAGGTGACAGCCGAGCGTGGACTCATCCTGTCGGTGTTCTGACTGATACTCCGAAATGCGATCTGACACACACCTTGAAAACGGGTAGTGTGGTCAGATATACCGGTTAATTCAGGATCCTTATGTGCCGATTCTGGTAGTTGGGAAGGCCTGGAGATTACGATTTTAATCTGTCTTTGCAAGCCCTCATATCAGGTGCTTTCTTTACCTGACACAGATAAATAAAAATTTTACTACAGGGTCCCATGTCCCACTAATTTACACTCAATACGCACGTAATCGTATTTTTCATAAGTTCAGTTTGTGTTTCAGCTAAAGCTTATTTCTACATGCGTTTGCAAATTCACAATCTCTATTTACTTGCTGGTGTAATCCATTTGATACTGATCACATACTCATATTAGAACTTATTATTTAACTTCCCTTGATAAATACAGAACTGTAAACGGGACGTTTACGCACAAGGTCCCACACTCCATACGGTATAAGTGTGTTCACTTTATTTCACAAGTTCATTTTTTTTGTTTTACTTAAACTGTCTTATCTAATTCTCAATGTATTGGCATTGTCACTTTCTCTGTTTACTCTCCGGTTCGATTCATGTTGCACTGTAGGTACATATAATCATATTTAAGCGCCTCACACAGTGGAAATATGGAGTAAATACAAGGGGATCACGCCCAATGAAACTATCGGTGTACTTAGATCGATCCAACTCCACGGGGACTCTCGCTGAGCGCAATCAGATTCAGATATTGAAGTGCTTCCTCCTGGCGTTGAGTAGAGTAGAAAAAGCTGGTGATTGCACGAGTACGTTGGAAACAAAACGTGCCATCTTTATCTGTTAATCTGACTGCATTCAGCGTCAGTCCCCTCGGAGTTAGATCGACATATGTAGATCGACAATTTCATTCTGAATGAGCCCTAGTTCCGATTGCCCCGATAATTCAGCCTTACCCAGTTGATGGATGCAGACATCGCAGCAACCACACATGCTTCCCTTCTGCTGTACTCTACCGCCACAGTTCTGAACGGCGCTCAAATCACACTTAACCGACTTGCAGAAGTTTGGTGGGCAAACTATCATAGACTGTGCTGCCGCTACCAGCAGGGCAAAGATGAGAACGGTCCTCATGACTAGGCGTAGAAAATAAGCATTAAAATAAAATAAGTAACTGGTGACAAAATATCTGTTCTATTTATATTTTAATAATTTTACGTTGTATCCTCTTTTCAATTGTCGTGTTTTAAACTTTAACTTTATTAGCTTTTATCTGCGTGCTATTTATTTTTTAGTCTTTATCATTCATTATCATTTCAATTTTAACATTAATAACTTTAAACTTGTGCATGTAACTCTTAAATAGTGAATTGCTGTTGTATTTCATAAATCGCTGGATTGTTCGTGAGAATAAAAACAACTGAAACTGGAATGGCTAATAAGATACCAGTGATCTTATTCATACCCTCTTTATCACGAGACGCCAAACCCGCAAACACACAAACATTTAACCACCAGATCACTCGCAAAGAACGTGTCTACATCAGCAAAAAACGAGGTTAAAACAAGGGCTGCATAACTGCCCCACCGCAAACATGTCTCTTGACTTGTAATTTAGCTAATAACATGTTTTAGCTACTAACCTGCAGATGCGTCCTAACACTATCAAACTTGTCAATGCAGTTTGTCGGTGTATCTGTCCCGAAGCAGAGGTCTTCACGTATTTATGTCACCCCACCGGAGAGATCCGTGTCCTTCAAGCAAGGGCATCTTGTTCAAATATTGTCAAGCACTTGTTGTTGTCAAAGCTGTTTATGGTTTTTTAAATTCCCAAATGAGTTTTTTCACCCTTTTATTTAATCCATCCATTGATTTATTTGCTTATTTGCAATGTTGCGATTGAAAAAGAACTGTTGGGGTCGAATTTCCACCTCACAGCATATTGAGCATTTCTTTAAAAAGGACGTAAAAAGAACATATTATAAATCCTGCAGACAGTGCCAGACTGCATAACTCTGTATTTAAGGCCTAGCCCCCTGTGTGATAAATACATGTCTTCCACATAGAAACGATCAGGGCAGCTGTGACGTCACGTGTTATTCAAACAAATGAAGTCATCGCTATGAGATTACGGATTCAAGGAAGAAGGTACCCTCTACCAGGGTCACAGATTGGTTTTTAACTAGATATTCACAGATATATGTCTGGTTAATCCATGGCACATTTCTCTACTTGTGTTGGAGAAAAGTGCACATAATTAAACTGCGGCCCTGGCAGAGGGGAGATTAAAGCAAGGACTTGGAATTCAATTCACGTCCTTGGTTGAAGGCATTGAGGACTGGATTACACAAATGTCTCCTCAACGAACCGTATTATGCGCAAATCTTGTAGATGTGCAGCATGGGACACCAAAAGCAATTTGAATGACAGAGCAGTTCCCTCTCTTATCAGCAAAGGCACGGTGGTTCATGTAGGCTACATGTAGTACATGTAATAATCATTATGAGTAATAAAAATCTAACAAGGGTCTTGAAAAAGCTTCATTTATTACTCTTTAGATATCAGTGTCATATGTCATGTCGGTACACTAAACGTCACAGATATCTACACCGCTTTAAACGAGGTTATCAATAAACGGACACTTGGGTTTGACAACCCGGCCTGACACTGCATCTTGCCAACTGATATTGCAAACGGGTCTATCGCAATAAAATTTTGGCATGACGCCTTGGTATCACATGAGTGTTCGCTTTGGTTTTAGGATAAAGTTTTCATTTTTACGTATGCACATTTCACTGATGGACAGATAGCACAATATCTTCATTTAGGAAGGACACTTGCCTGAAGTCTTTAACCCTTGACCAGTCATGTATTGACCAAGGGACCGTTTCCCAGTGGAAATAAAGGCCCATTGAACTAACCTAAGAGGTATAATCTATAGGCCTACTGCTGCAAATATGAAAAGATACCGTGCTATTTAATTCATAAAAGCATATTTAAAATTGCAAACGTGGCAGTATACCCAAAATGCGTATTTTTTTTTTTTTTGACTAAGATCTTATTAACAATTAAATGACAACTTTAAACAATGTGGGTCTGACCTAAATAATAGTAGAATACGCATAAATGCGCATAGTTGACATTTCTGCGTGTTCCGTTCTATGTTGATTTTTGAGACAGCCCCTCCCTATCTCCAAGCACCTGATAGACCGCCGACCTCCCGGGAGCGTCCATCTTACCTGGGGACTTGCCAAGCACGTGTTGGCTCACTGACAGTAAAAGAGGTGGGTAACATTTCCCAAACTTATTTCGATCTAATCTTTGTAACCTTTTTTAATCGCTTCAGGCTGGTGCTCAGTCTTTATCTTAGTGTGTATTGAAAAATTCCCGGCTTATGTTGCCAAAACTGTACAAAAAATTACCACATTGCAAAGGGTTATTGCTTGATAATCTTCAGTGCATCAAGAAAAGTGCGTGCTGTATTTGGTAACAAAAATAAATGATTGCATTACTAATTAAGAATGTTCAAGTGTGTGAACATAACAGTATCGTAATTAAAAAAAAAAACACACACACAATAGGTGAAGATATTTGCAAAGTGAAATGTTACCTTCGCAGTGTATCGGGAACACCGATGTCTTGGCAAACATTGCAGCAACTGTTGAAACTCTGTTAGCAAAACTGACCTTTTTACATATCGATGCTGGATAAGGTGTTTTTGTTCGCTTTTCATTACTAAATGCATGTGGGTGTGCATGTGCGTGTATTTGGGGTGGGTGAATTTGTAGACGACACATACGAATAAATATAGTATATTGCGACAATAATTATCCGGCTGCTTTATTACTACCACCAGTATGTACTTCACAAGATATGGCACTGTGCATAGACGCTTATCCGTAAAAATTAGAGTACGTCGATTGTCAATGGCTTCTACCTATTGAAATATTAGATAAGACACGGTTTGAAGGCCGAAAAGTTTTCTGTTACCCTGAATTTCAAAGGAAAAGCTAAACTTACGACTCTACACTTATGCCTATGATAAAAAAGTAATGAGTTTTCAGTGTCCTTTGAAACGAGGGGTATCCACTGTTGACACTGTTGCACCTCTGATAACGTCCAGTTAAGAGGGGTGCGTGCCTAGTGACCAGTGGATCGTCTTATCAAATTATGTAATCTTTCATATTGACTGTCCATTTGGTCAATGGCCTTGGCCTACAAATAAGCGAAGCCGATTGGTCATCCAGCTGGATTTCTACCAACGCCCATGGCGTCTGCTCAGAGAGAAAGTCATTCATTTGAATAAAGTTTAAAGTTTAAAGTTAAGTTAGAGGGGGTGGGGCAGGGACTTCCCTTTTAACCCGCTTCTGCCTAGGCTTTTGACTTACGTGGTTAAGAACTAGCCTCTCTTTGACAAACTATGCAACTCTAGGTATATAACTTACAATAAAGAACATTCCACATTTTACTTGCACGGTTTTATTTTCATCAACATGTCTTGAAACAAATTCAAATTTCATCTTGGCGGTACCGCCAAAGAAGTCAAAAAATTGACGCTAATTTGTGTGTGACTTCGCAAGCAATGTACGTAAATAGATACATAAACAATCACGCCCCAATTAAAACTCTGCAACTGAACATATCTACCTTGGAACTTCTGACAGCATCAAAAAGTATTCTTGTATATTTTTATGTCTAACATTCCGACCATTTCCCACAGAATTCGAATTTGTTTCATGCCCAGTGCAATAATGACGCGGTATTTACTCATACCCATAAAGATAAACTGAAGTAGGCGCACATACTGAGTATAAGACCTAGAACTGCCTCGGGTAATGCGAAAGAACGTCTATCGTTCTATAATAATCTTATTTAGGAATGAGAAACCTACGCAACGACCGTGTGTCTTTTCTATGATTATTATTTTATAGAGGCCTACACTTTATTGGAACCACACTTACTGCATTAAGTTTACTAGAGGTATCGTGTTAGAAAATAGAAAGCGCCAAGATTGGCGTATCAAGGACTTCCGAGGCCGGCATTATATTTTGAGATAATTCTTGAAAAGAAAAAAGTATTTAGCAATTAATGCATGCTACATGTAAGTAATACAGTTTATAGAAACGAAAAAGTAATGTCGTCTGATATGTCATGACTTCTAAAACCATTCCTATAAATGAAATGAAGGATGAAGTATCAAATATAAAATATATATTTAACTATCCCTCAGAGATGCAAACATCAACACGAAAACAAACAATAAAATGGAAGCTTTTATTCTAAATACGGTGTACAGAATATTTTCACATATAACACTAGAGATACAATAAACAAGCCACCTCTACAAATAACAAAAAAGGGTAAGGGGCTTATCAACTGAAACATAGTTCTACAACTAGTCAACAAAAAGAATAAAAACCAAAGATCGAAAGAACGCCCTACTCAATTTCTGAAAACATGTAAAGTGCTTTTAAATAAAATACTTCCATTTTAATGGCAATACAAAATTATAATAATCGGCATGGTACACGTAATTGTCAGATTACATGTATGAAAAAAGCTAATTGGAAACAATTTTACTTGCGGCGCTTTGCTATAACATGTAGCAAACGTGGGCGCTGGTAAAACTGAAGTAGGCGCACATACTGAGTATAAGACCTAGAACTGCCCCCCCCCCCCCCAAACAAAAAAAAAAAAAAAAAAATATAAAATATATAATTATTTATTATATTTTTTTTTTTTTTTTTTT